AATAGAGAGGAAGATAGCCTAACCTCACAAGGCAGGGGGTTCCACAGATGTGGTGCTGCCACGGAGAAAGTCCTGTTTGCATTGATTCCAATCTTGCCTTAGAAGGCAATGGAACACATGAGAGGGGCAAAACAGCTGGTCTTAAAAGATGGTCAATTTCCATAAGGGGATATGGTCCTACAAGGGCTTTAGAGGTAATGTTTTGTTATTAGGGCTACATATTGCTGGACCATAAAGAAGGCTGATCGCCAAAGAATTGATGCTTTTGAATTATGGTGCTGGAGGAGACTCTTGAGAGTCCCATGGACTGCAAGAAGATCAAACCTATCCATTCTTAAGGAAATCAGCCCTGAGTGCTCACTGGAAGGACAGATCCTGAAGCTGAGGCTCCAATACTTTGGCCACCTCATGAGAAGAGAAGACTCCCTGGAAAAGACCCTGATGTTGGGAAAGATGGAGGGCACAAGGAGAAGGGGACGACAGAGGACAAGATGGTTGGACAGTGTTCTCGAAGCTACCAGCATAAGTCTGACCAAACTGCAGGAGGCAGTGGAAGACAGGAGTGCCTGGTGTGCTCTGGTCCATGGGGTCACGAAGAGTCGGACATGACTAAATGACTAAACAACAACAACAAATTTCTCATATATCTTCCATAAACTTAATTGGTTCCTTCCTTCCTTCCTTCCTTCCTTCCTTCCTTCCTTCCTTCCTTCCTTCCTTCCTTCCTTCTCTTTTTCTCTTTTATCTGAATGGACAAACAATAGTTTGCAGCTGATAATTAAACAATGTTTTGAAATCATGGTTTGTCCCACTGTGGTTTACCATGTCGTCTGCACCTGAATTTTTGATTTTGCGATGCAGAAGTGCTCATTTTGTGATACTTTATGGTTCTCGGTGTTGTAAGATACTTTGAGCATTTTTTGTTTGTGGAAAGTCAGCATATAAATAAATTGATGAGTTGGCAAGCCACAGTTATGTCTGGTTCTTTGTCTCTGGAGTGTGTGGTATATAGATGGGAACTGAAAGCAGACAAGCAGCTCTAAAATAAAAGCTTGTTTCTAGATTATAGTTAACACAAACCGTGACTTGGCGTGATTTCTGAATAGGGACATTAATAAGTACTGTAGACTTCTCCCACAACAATGAGACTAGTAAGAATATTCAGAGTTATGTCATTTGTAAATAAGAAATAAATGAATTTTCCTCCCATCTCTTAGGAAGCATATTTCACACTATTGTTATGTCTGGCAATTTGCTATGCAAGGTACATTGTGTATTGATTTTTCAATTTACAGCTTTGATAAGACTTGAGAAATGTTTTAGTTCTTAATCCTCCATACTTATTGCAAGAGGGGTAGAGAAGGGGATATGCTTGAAAATGAAGAGATTTTTGATGCTTCTTTCGTGTCAGCAGAATTTTTCTCAGCTAATTGAATTTTTCATATACTGCAGTAGACACTTACTCTCTGCAACTTCAACTTTCCTCATTACAGTGTTGTTTTTGCAGAACACAGAGAAATTTGTCCAAAGGGAAGAATGTGATTTCAAAGGTCAATTTCCATTTAAGTGGGTTTGGGAACTGGCTGGCTTCTCTGCCTCTGAGACTACCCTTTTGTTTTCACACCCTATATAAAATGTCGACATTTGTATTTCCATTGGGTCTTTTCCTGAGTGGGGAACCTTTGGCATTCCAGATGTTGCTGGACTCTGAAACTTAGAATCCTTGGCCATGGGTAGGCAAACTAAGGCCCGGGGGCCGGATCCTGCCCATTCGCCTTCTAAATCTGGCTTGCAGACAGTCTGGGAATCAGCATGTTTTACATGAGTAGAATGTGTCCTTTTATTTAAAATGCATCTCTGGGTTATTTGTGGGGCATAGGAATTCGTTCATTTCCCCCAAAAAAATATAGTCCGGCCCCCCACAAGGTCTGAGGGACAGTGGACTGGCCCCCTGCTGAAAAAGTTTCCTGACCCCTGATCCTTGAGCATTGGCCATGCAGGTGGGGTCAATTCAAACATATGAAAGGTTGCTGGTTCTCCATCCCTGCCATATTGGAAAGCTGTGACAATGTCCCCTTGCTTTGCTGGTGCCCTGACCATGTGCTTAGTCTGCCCATTGGGCAATCCAGCATTGCATGTAGAGTTGCATCAGACCTACTTATGCAAGAGCTTCTGCTTGCACAACTGAACTTCCTCCCGTTCTTCCCCTGCCCAGCTCCCCAAATCTTTTCTGGGGGTTCATTCAACGGTCTGGAGCATATTTGAGGGGGTGGGCACACAGGCAGAGCAAATGGAAGTCAAGTATCATCACAGAAGAAGAAGTCCTGTGAATGGGATGACTTTGTTGGATACAACCTGTAACATATTTGTCTATTTTATTATAAATAAAAATATAGGGTTGTAGCCAACTAATTTCTACTCAGAGTAGACTGCTCAATATTAATAAAAACTACTCATGTCCATTATTTTCAATTGGTCTACTCTGAGTAGGGCTAGCAATGGATAATACCCATAATATCTTACAGATCACTGTATGCAGGCGGGGTGTGTGTGTGTGTGTGTGTGTGTGTGTGTGTGTGTGTCACCCTCTGTTTTCTAGCCAAACAATGCCAGATTTCTTCATCTTAATGACTCGTTTGGGACTTTGCAGAACTTCGAAGGCTGTGAAGTGTCTTCAATCCTGAGAGGATTTTTTTTTTTAAGGGAGAGGGGTGACGTTACAATTTATTCTTGTAGGGATAGAGCACAGTTTACTTTCTTATTATTGCAGTGTAATATATCATCAAAGAAGAGATAAACAAATCTCTTCTGGATTAGTTTCTACCTCATTTATCTACTTTGTGCAAATTAACTATTGTCCTTGACACTCCGAGGTGAAACCCTTCAAAATCCTCAGCTGTTTCAGACATATCATCCTAATCCTTCCCAGCTCTACGGAACCCATCCATCTATTTGCTGCATTTGATTTATAGCCCACCCTACCCTAGTGACTCAGGGTGGTCAGGGGCAGCTCAGCTGCTCCCAATTTAAAGACGAACCATTGCAAACCCAAACCCCAAACCATGAGTTGAAAAGAATGTAATTCTTGCAAAATTGTCCAATTCCGCAAAGCTCCCTCTTCTTATCTTAAAATAGCTCCCTTTGTTTTAGACTGCTGTTTTGCTTATTTTAACCAGACTGTGTTTCTAAATTCATCAGTGCTGCACCTATGATACATATATATACAGTGGTGCCTCGCAAGACGAAATTCATCCGTTCCACGAGTCTCTTCGTCTTGCGTTTTTTTCATCTTGCGAAGCACGGCTATTAGCGGTTTAGCGGCTTAGCGGCTATTAGCGGCTTAGCGGCTTAGCGGCTATTAACGGCTTAGCGGCTATTAACGGCTTAGCGGCTTTAAGAAAAAGGAAACAAACTCGCAAGAACTCGCAAGACGTTTCGTCTTGCGAAGCAAGCCCATAGGGAAATTCATCTTGCGGAACGACTCAAAAAACGGAAAACTATTTCGTCTAGGAAGTTTTTCGTCTTGCGAGGCATTCGTCTTGCAGGGCACTACTGTACTGTGTAAACTGACTTCAGTAGTGTTTGATCCAAAGAGACAGCCTGGGCTGTAGCTAAGTAAATTCTGCTCAGAGTAGTTCTTCTGTCCCCAGGGTTACAGATAACAGTAGGGACAGGGTTGGTGTGCCTGGTTTTGCAGGCACTGGATCCACATCACATCTTCTTTTTTGAGGAGGCAAGAATGATGGTATTTGTGTACTAGATGAAGTGCCTTTGCCAAACAAAGCTTCTGAGAGGTTACTGAGTGTATGGACCAGGTCTCCGACCCTTAAAAGATAGAAGATGAGAAAGCTTTTGTTAGATGATGGATATCGCTGTTCCTTTACAAGTCAACTTATGTGATTTCCTAGCTATTAAATGATGCCATTGTTGATGGTGATATTAGTTGCAGAAAGACATGCACATACCCTCCAACATTTCTCTGACCAAAATAGAGGTGTTCTATTCAATAATAATAAAAATAATAATAGTATTTATACCCTGCCCATCTGACTGGGGGGTTGCTCCAGCCACTCAGGGCTGCTTCCAACATGTATAAAAAACATAATAAAACATTAAACATTTAAAAACTTCCCTATACAGGGTTGCCTTCAGATGTCTTCTAGAGGTTGTATAGTTACTTATCTCCTTGGCTCTGGGGTCGCATAACTCCATACCCTCCAATTTTTCTCTGATGAAAGTAGGGACATCATAAGGAAAAGCAGGACATTCTGAAATCAAATCAGAAACCAGGATGGCTTCTGTAAATCTGGGACTATTTCTGAAAAATTGGGATACTTGGAGGGTCTGCATGGAGCACATCCAGTACAAGTGTCAAAACGCCTAATTTTTCATGTGCCTTTTCAAGTGTGCACATCCTCTTCTCCTCTTTCGGTGGAGCCTAAATCATCACCAGCCTCCAAATGCTGTGTCTCTAAGTGCCAGCTGGGAACCGAAATGAAGCTGTCACTGTTGCCCTAAAGGAAGAACGACAGCTCTGGCTTTCAATTAAAGGTTGGCAGCACTGATCCAAGGCAGTCAAAACTGATCCGTGCTCCAAGGTGGCACACAGAACTCATGCCACAGATGAGAGATGGTGTGTGTGCGCGTGTTTGTGGTGTGATCAGAGACGATGACTAGTACACTTCTGACTATGAGGACAGCCACCTTAACTGGTCTGGGAAGTCAGAAGTCTGGGGAAATTTATGGACTGTCCTTCTGCTCTCCAAATTTCATGGCTGTGTCAGCTATCATTTGGCAATAAAACTTAATGAGGGGATAAGGAGAGCACAGATTCCATGTGTTACTTCAAAGTTCTACATTTGGTCTGAGATTTAATTTCATTTTGAAGTAAGAGGACAGCAGAATACATATTTGCATTAAAAAAATATTATTCCCCCCTCACTGCATCTGAGGGGCTGTGTGATGCATTAAGGCCCATTTCCACTGGCTTTTCTAGGAGATCCAGTGGTGGCGTAGTGGTTAGAGTGTCGGACTAGGACTTAGGAGACCAGGGTTCAAATCCCCACTCAGCCATGAAGCCCACTGGATGACCTTGGGCTGGTCACCATCTCTCAACCAAACCTACACCACGGAGCTGTTGTGGGGATTAAATGAGGACGAGGAGAACCATGTCTGCACCTTGGGCTCCTTCACGAAAAATTTTTTTTGGGGGGGAATGCAACAAACTAACAGATAAATAAATAATTGTCTGGTGGTTCTTCCTTCTTGGAACTATCTGGTTCAGTGGCCATGCTGCCTGGTCATGAGAAAAATGATGAAGCATCTTGCAAGAAGCTGTGTCCAGTTTTGCCCTCTTTTCCTCTTTCCCGCTCACCCATTTTCCTTTCCACAGCATGCCTATGAACTAGTGTGATGCACTGCTTTGAGAGTCAGACTAAAACTGGGAGCACCCAACTTCTAATCATCACTTAGCAATGTCCCATTTGGATTCCTGCTTTAGAGCCCTATGGTGGCAACACTCTGCAGTGACTTTGGGCCAGCCACTATCTCTCAACTTAACCTGCCTTATGTTTTTTGCACATCATCTTTTAAAACTGTAAACATCAGGAATGATTATTTTCCAGGAAACCTTTCTCTTTAGACCCTTGGTCCTCATCCTGAACTAAACATAAGCCTTTATATGTGCAACTTAACCAAGCATACCCTCTTACACTGTTTTTCTTGCCTCAATTTTCCTCCCTATCCCTCTGTATCACGCCCCCATCCCTGAACTGCATTTTAGATGGTAAGCTTATCAGGGCAGAGACCTTCCCTTTTGTTCATTATCTTATAAAGCACCATGCACATTGATGATGTTCTATAAATATTAATTAGTGAAGTTAATGAATGAACTAATTAGAGAGAAAGTAAACAGATGAGTATGGAAACCAAGACCTATGGGGTCCTAGGTAATGCATTTCATACTACTACTACTACCAATAATAATAATAATAATTACAGGTTTGTTTGGGTGTATGTTATGATATCCAGGGTTGTCTTTACTCAGGGGTGCAAGGGATGCAAGGGGTGTGGGGCACCCAGGCGCCGAATTCTGGCTGAAGCTGCCTAAGCTCTTAATTATCTACCTGTTACGAAATAATAAATAATTTTGATCAGGCTGGAAAAACAAAATACATATATACCTAGGTATTACTGAAACGTATACCTACTGTTTCACTAAAGGACTTTTGACTTTGTGCGCTCATTTACCAAAGATGCGCCGTGACAGCAGTGGCTCTTGTCATTCACAACAGCTCCATGCATGCGAAATTAGCTCTTACATCCAAATATTATGTTACGTATTGTATTGAGCTGCTATGCGGCAGCAGGGTCAGCGGCACCTTTGACAAGACTGATATTTCTCCTAAGTAGGTGCCTAAAAAATACTTATAAGTTTAAGTGTGGTGGTGCTGTATACTTAAGTATGTGTATTGTAAATAAATGAGCAAATAAAAAACTCTGTTTCTTTTTCCTCCCATATTTCGTAAACAAGAGATACTGTAAGGTGTAAGCATGGTGTCTGACATAAGCATAATAAAAGTTAATTTGGGGGCTAAACTAAATTTGGGGGCGCTGGGCAGATCTTTGCACCCCGGCAGCGCATATGCTAAAGATGGCGCTGGTGATATCCCAGTTGACCCCAGAACATTTCCCCCAGGTCTCAGCTTAAATCCATTTTTGTATAAGAGTGCTATAGAGCAAACAATCAAATCACAGCACCTCCTGTTCTCACATAGGGAATTGTCATTTGTGCTAGCACCGACTTCTGAAAAAAACAGAAACAAAAACAAAAGACATTGCCACTGAGTATTGTGTATTAACTCTTTTTTGTTTTTGTTTCCAGATCTCTTTGCTTTGTGCCACTCCCCACGGAGGAATTGTAGGTGTGTGGGTGGAGGAGACATCACAGATGAACAAGAGGAGAGTGACAAAGGAGATGATGCTCTTTCATGCTCAGAAGGTGCATCCTCCCCCCCACTTGCCGGAACACCAATCCCATAAAATAAAGGCTGCAGATGGTGATAGCTGAGTTCACCGATGCTACTCAAACTATCATCAAAGTGTCTGAAAACAGCCATTAAACTCTTAGAACTTCAAGCTCAGAAATTTTCTCCCACTGATATCAAGGTGGAATCACTGTCAGGCCCACAATTAGCGAGGCCAATGTCATGTATCTGAGATTGTGACCTGATCACAAGGCTGGTAAGAGCTAGTTCAAGGAGAAACTAACAGCTCCATTTAAGGTACAAGGAGGGTTCGGAAGCTTATAGTGAGCAGTGGGTTGAGTAAGTAGTATTTCATGTCCTGGGAGGAGGTGGTTGGTAGAGGAGGAACAGTTAAGATGACATATATTTGCTTATAGAGTGTGTGTCCCAATGGAAAAGATCTCACAGACTCTTTGGACTCTGTCCAGTAATGTATCACTGAATGAAGTCTGGCCAGCTGGGAATTTGGTGTGAGCCTCCGTAACTGAACCCCCAAGAGAAATTTCCCTCAACCAGATTCCACAGACTTGTTTCTGTCTGTCCTTAGCAAGATAGCTACTTCAGTCTCCTGCTATTGATGGGGTGGCTGGTAGCAGTGGTGGGTGAAAAGTTTCTCAACAGTAAGCAGAGAACTGTAGCTCAGTGGCCAAGGGCACGGTATGCATGCCAAAGACCCAGGTTCAATCCTCAGCATCTCCAGAGAGGGCTATAGAAAAGGAAACCCACAACCAATGCAGTGCTCCTCCTGGTATGCTGGCGACACCCCAACTTCATCACCAGCCCACCTTGTCTCCCCACAGTAAGTGACAGCTGTGCAGTGAATCAAGTGGCTATTAGTTTTATGAAATCAATAAAACATACCACCTTGATATATTTTTATGGAAGTGTGGATTATAAACATGTAAATAGATAAAATGAAGGGATGCCATTCAAAATTCACCCTTCTCTGAATTTTGTGATGCAGTTCTCCAATGAAGTAATGTGAAAAAAATGAAAATGAATAGATATGGGGAAAGTGTATATCAGATGCATATATTAGTGAAAACAAGATGCAAAAATGCAGCCTATTTAATTGCTCAGTAAAAAAGAAGAAGAATGCTTATGTTAGGGGGAAAATGTGCACTTTTGTGTGGCCTTAAAACACACACCACGCAAACTATTGCAAAAATGTGGAGAGCTGAATTTAAGATTTTAGAAATGAGAAACTGATATCCACAGTTCTCAGCACAGGTTCCCCATCCCTTGTCCTTGATAAAATGGAATTTATGAGGAGGGTAATGCTGTGTGGGTCAGATCCTCTGGAACAATATGGGAATGGAGCTGGAGGCAGAATCCTACCATCCCATAGAACTCAATTTGCAATGGTAGGAATAAAAGAAAAAAGGCACAACCTTGTAGCTGACTTCTCTCCCCCCCCCCCCGCACCCGGAGAAGCTGGAGTCTCCTTGTGTAGGGTTTCACATGAAAAATGTAGCGCTCCTACGTAAATATTTCAGGGGTAATGATCCCTTTTTGCAATTTAAGGGAAGTGGAGCAAATGTAAATTCAGCTAATGGGAGTTCGTGTAGCCATCATTATAAACTAACGGCTTCTCACTGTATTCTGAAGGGAATGGTCAATAATAGGAGATTAATGATTCGGGTGCCATAAAGTAAAATCAATAGAAAGATAAGCCTGCAACAAGGCCTGGGCTTGTTTGTGTTAAGTTCTCATTTCCCCCCATGCAAGTTCTCCTGTTGCTGTTTTTTTTAAAAAAAATATTACAGTATTATTATTCAGAACTCTGTCTTAAAACAAAAACAAAAAGACAGAACTCTTTCAGCCAGCAGAGGTCTGCTAGATGCATCAGTGAAGAAGAAAATGGGAAGGGAGAGCCAGTTTTGTGGATTATTTTGTCTCCGCAACATTTGGGATGCTTGCCAAATGTGAGGGCTGTATAAGAACCTAAGAAGAGACTGTAAGGTCAGTCCAGTTGCCCATCTAGTACAGAGTCTCACAGTTCCAACCAGATGCCATCAAGCCGGATTCAAGCCCAAGAGCACGGAGATTCTCAGCAAGTGGCATTGAGAAGCATACTGTGGGAATGTTCAGGGTGGCAAGTGAAGATATATTGTTTATTAATATCCTTCCTAACTTGCACTAGCAAGTTCCTTTACTTAGCAGAGTTTACATTCCCCGTTTCCATGCACAGCAGATAGCTGGTCGCAGGCTCGTGTGAGCCTCTCACTATTACACAATTCAGTCTGTCTCAGATTGAATTGTATGTTCCTGGTAAGTTCCCTTTAATCCCTCTTAAAGGAATAAAGACACCACAATCATATTCTAAGTCAATAAAAGAAGTTTACAGACAAACCTCTTCTTACACCTGCCTCCGTTCATGTCCGTTTTGCCCAACGTCTGTGGCAAACCTGGAAGTAACTGGCGGGTTTGGCGCTGTTTGCACAATGGTGTCTCTCCCAGCGACCTGTTTCAACTTCCAGACAGGCCTCTGGAACAGATTGTGGTCGTGAGTAGAGGTTCCACTTTACTCACATCAGTTCACAATTGGATTCCTGAAAGCAGACTTGGTTACAAATATGTACATGTGGATCTATCCCATATGGGGGAATAATCCCAGTGCTTCTGGTAGCTGGAAGCTAGCAGACCAGTCCTAGCTAGAAGCTGGTCAAATGAAGAAGGAAGTCAAAAGGAGAAAGGGTGCTGCATGACCCGTCCTTTTTTTTACCTGGACAGTTTAGGTCACGCCCACCTTCTATCACATGCAAAAGGAAGGATGCACCAGCCAGGAGGAACAGGAAGTTTCGACTGGCTGGACCCAACATTCCCTCACATGTTTTCTCTAGCATTACAAAGAATGTTGTACTTGACTGCCTCTCATGGATCATATCCCACACATACTGCCTCTGACAGTGGAAGTACAACATAGCTGTTATGGGCGAATAGCCATAGATTGCCTGCAGCACATCCTGTAGCAGTGAGTTCCAAAGGTTACTAACATTTTGCATGAAGGGCTATCCATCGTGCTAGAATGTTTGGAATCAAGAGCCGGCAAC